AGAATAGCATTTTAATCAAAACCCACATAACATCCAATGAGTTGGCAAATCCAATTTTTTGTTTCAGGGTTCTCCATACATTCTCCTACCAGTACAGATGACATCACAGATGAAGTCCCTTGGTGCCATGCTCATAGCATCGAAGGGGGAGACTTACTTGTGAAAATTTCATTCTCTCACTGCCTGTTGCTGCTGCTGTGGCAGGAACAGAAAAACTGCTCAAGTTCTGAAGTGGCAGGGACCATATAAATATGTATAGAATGTCTGTCTGGCTTCACCCACAATGGCCCCTCAAAGGGGAGGGTTTGGGCCATCAAAGCCAAGTCTGGTGCCATGGGAAGGAGGGGAAAACATAGCATGGCCCCTGTGGTCCCCCTTACAGGAAGTGGGAGAGTTTTGTCACTAATTAATTCCTTAGATTTTTGTCTTGGTTTTCAAATTGCTCACAAACAGATTGTGAAAAGCTTGCATGTATACTGTGTTTGAGGTTATCTGTGGATTTCTTCAGCAATTAGTTCTTAACCAGCAGACTGGTTGCAAATAGTTAGCTGTAAACATTGACACACTGCTGGTTAACTACATAAGTAATGTAGTATTGTTTGTATTTCCTGATTGGATGATCTATAAAAGTGACTGACAATAGGAGGTCCAAAGTTCACAGCAGAAAGGGGATGTGTGGAAAGGGAGATGGTTCACATCCATTTTAGATTTCTAATAGTCCTTTTCCTGGGTTTGGTTCAGTGTATAGTTAATTTTAGTTAAAAAAAAAAAAAAAAAAAAAAAAGGTTTAGATATTGAAGCAGCCTATTTCCAAATGCCAAGAAGGGGCCCCAGTCCTGCATTTGGATTCACATAGGATGAGTTCGTTGCAAGGATTGGAGCAAAATTACATCCGACTCAAAAGAACATATCAATCCTCCTATCTTTCCGTGTGGGCCATCCAGGGAAACTTTTCTTCCTAGTCTCTTACCACCTCCGGCAACAAGACCACTATTGAAATAACAGGATCCACCTGATCTCTTTGGTTGGAAAGAGGGTGGCTGAGTGGAAAGAGCACAGCTGTTTTCCATTATCTCATAATTAGAGTAGTGGAAAGGAAGCATCTGTGCCTTGTTAATGCTATCTAGTGGCCTCTCTTTTTTTCGTTTGATGTTTTGACTTGAGAAATGGGAGCAAGATGCTTCTGGCCCACAAGGGACTCTCCTCACACATCCCAAGAGGTTCATGCATCCTTTTATTAAACACAATTCAAACTATGAAGAGTACAATCCAATGTACAATTCAGAAATTGCTGTGGGTGAATGCTCATCATTCCTATTTTGTTTTTACTGAGCGTGCAGATATTTTCACAAAGGGTCACAAACATAGTCAAATCAAAATTTGCTTTCAAATTCAAAGAAATATTTGTGCAAATGCCTCCTCTTTCACATGCACACTCCTTGCTTACTTTTAGTATCTGGTTGTAGGGCTTTTTTGGCTTTGTAAAATGTAAAACCAAGTAAATAAGGGTCCACATCATCCAGCCAAAGGCTTAACCAAGAAAACATATGGTTGTGTTTAATTTTTTTAGAGTGGGAGACTGTCCAGTATGAAACTCTTCAGTTCCTCCTTCATTCTGGGGTGAAGAAAAGCCTTTAAACTGTGCAAATCATAGTGTGTCCACAATAACTAGAGACAAATTAAAATATATTATCAGCTTCTAAATATAGAAAACATAATTGTACCAGAACTAATCCTTTGCACAAACCAGTCTTTACAAGCTTGCATTAGAAAGGAGATGTTGAGGAACAGCTGGGTGGCTAATTCAACAAAAAACATGCAGCTTACCTTCATAAAAAGCTTTTTCAAACTTTATTTGCTACTTGTTTTGCACTGGATGTGTGTGCAGCATTGTAGGGAGGAAGATCTGTGCCAGATTCATAACATACTGTTTTAAGGCATAGAGATGCCAATCTGTTTCTGAAAGAACTCATTTCTACTTACGTAGGGTAAAGGCCCACAATCCCATCCAGTACTTTAGCTCCCATTGCATACTTTGAGGAAACAGGTGGCATGTAAGTGATACCTTGCACTGGTTCTCTACACTGGGATGTATTTCTACCCTCGTGCTCAACTGCGCACCCAGTGCAGTAAAAGAGTGTGTTGCTCTGGACTCCAATGGGAGCAGTGGGCACAGCACATACAGGGCTTTCAGGGAGGTCCTAGAAACAGTAACTGACCTTTCAAAAATTAAGAGTCAATAGAAATGATAGTCTGCATGCTCAGAATCCCCACAGAACATATGTTAACTTATTTTGTCCAGACCCAGCAAAATAAATATTCTGCACCTAATTCTCTGTACACAGAGGCTCTCTGGCCCTCTCTAACCAGGAGTTTTTATTTTGCTGGAAACAAAAGACCCTCATTGAAGCTTGGAAATAGCTTTCATTTTCTGATCACTAGTTAATATATTATTTTACTTCATCCCTCTACAACCATTCTCACCCACTTTCCATTCCTCTGGTGGTCATCTTTGTGTAGCAAAAGTACAGGAATTTGAGTACAACTCCTTTGAGTTCATTGTCTGCACTAGCAGATAGCACTCAGGATGGAATGCTACATATTAGCAACCTGTAATAAATAAAGGGGTAACATGCACTCACCATGACTGGGTCATCAGGAGTGCTGAGCAAAAGTATCTCCTTGTGGTCTGCAGACACAGTTATTACAGGCTCCTTTCCTGGGTTCCTTTCAACTTCCAGCAGGAGTAGAAAAGCCTGGCTTTTCTCACAGGAGTGGGTTAGCTATTTTTACACACCCTTGTGTTTTTTAAATGCTAGAACAGATTGAGTACAAGGCTGGTGTCCAAAACCATTGATCTACCCTTGTGCGTTAACAGATGAAATGGGATGTTCAGGACTGAAAAAAATCTTTGACCTTGTGTGAGCCTTGATACAATGGCTCCAGTAGTTCTCTCACAGGTGAGTCCCCCCAATAACACTAACAGTGTCTGTTGGTGGGTTTGGATGGGAGGTCAGTTCACTCAATAGCAGTTGGCCCAAGCCTTGGACATCAGTCACTCAGGACCACGTTCTGCCCTTGGATGTGCAACGTGGCATGAAAACACAGTGACTACAACGGGAGCCTTGCCTGCAGAGTTGAGAGCAGAATTTGGCTGGAAGGAATCCTGAGGCAGAGACTTTCCTTTATTCTTTGTCAGCTCAGAAAGCATTTCAGACTCCTTGCAGCCTGTTTGTATCCAACAATAACAACACTTCTGTGGCCTTTAAAAAATACTAAAATCTTCCCCAAACACCCAACTGAATAAACAACAAGCTGCACAGCGTTGACCATGTCAATGTATTTTTCCCTTTTGACACCAAGTCTTCATTTTATGAAGCTGCATTTCCTATTGCGTAGAGGAAAAGAATGTCTTTGACCATTGGAGTGTAATTTGTTTTAACAGACAAAAGTAGATTCCAGTCAACCTAGGGCCATGTTCTGATTCCTTATTTGTGTAGAGTACTTTGTGACTAATCCCACTGGAATAAGTGGCCCTACTTGTGGAGTAAAATACTGGTCAATACTGAAATCTGAACCTCAGTGACAAGAATTCCTTTTGAGCTCTAACAAATACAGTGTATTTTCTAGGATAATGCCAGAGAAAAACAAAATGAACCCTTATTTTATACCTTACATTTAAATGAGTAGCAGACCAGCAATTCTTATGTTCATCTACTCAAGACTTACTTTTACTTTTACACAGTGCTAAAATATATTTAACAAAACTAGGGCTATGTCTACATTGCGCATTCTTGTGCATGAAGATAAGCAAATGAGCAGTGGCGATGAATATCACCACACCTCATTTGCATACCTAATGAGCTGCCATTTTGCACAAGAAGGTGCAGTCTACACTGCTCCTTCTTGTGCAAAAACCCTATTGTGCAAGAGCTGTTCTGCCTGAAAATAAGCAAGAATGCACAATGTAGATGTAGCCCTAGGATGTAAATGCTTGAGTGGTTTTTAGATTGGGTTAAAGATAATGAAAATGTTCCTATATACTGTACTATGGAGAGATTCTACACTTCTCATGGAGAGACCTATATGGAGCTTTATAGACATGATCTTATTTTGGGGTGGAAGTTTCATAGAACATATCAGCTATTCAGTTGTTTTGGGTAGTGATGCTGAAGGGAGGAGTATTGATGAAATTATTTAACTATAACAAGTATATTATGTGGCTCCACAAAGTTGCCGTCAACATTTGAATCAGGAAGAACTGAGGGAGAGCCAACAGGGACAAATGGCAGGGACCAGAGAGTAAAGTCAATAGGCATGGTAAGAAAGAAGTCACAATTTAAGCTGTACATAGAAAAATAAACCTTTTCAGGACTTCTTGCCTGGCCTCCTACATCTCTGCAGCAAAATCAGCAGAGTTCTGGAAAATATCTTGTATAAAAATATAGACCTAGATCCCATAAGGAATTAAATGGGACTGGTCATATATATAAAATCATATATGTACTTGGAAAAGGGATATTTTTCTTAGCATGGAGTAAGAGGTGTGATGCATACAAAGGGCAAATTGGCTACCTGTCTGATTTTGGAAGTTGCCAGTTTCCTCTCCTCTTCTTGAGGCCCTTACATTTTGTGCATTAGGGAGTGAAATGACTAATGGAAAAAGTCATTGTATTGCTTTACATGGTGACAGCTAATTCTTTGCCTCTGCAAACTCCTATTGATTAAACTGAGGCAAATACCAAGCTCATCATGCTTAGTGTAAGGAATGCTAAAGGGCAATTAACGGGGCATTTTGAAGGAGCAATACTTTTGCAAGAAAGAAAGTAAAAATTAACCAATGTTTTGAATTCCTGGACTAAGGAAAGTAGCCAAAAGTAGATAAAAGGATAAAATATTTTAAAATTTAAAATTATATCATTCAATACATGTATCCAGAGTGATTGTTAACTCTCCTTGTATACTTTTCAAGACATCCTGTCTTCATTTCTGTCTTTCAGACTGTGAACTTTTCAAGACAGGGATCATCTTCGAGTCCTGTACATGTAGCACATCATTACTATTAGTAACTTAACAATGGAGCACAGAGAGGACTTAAAGTGCATTTCATTGGTTGCCTGTGTTTTGCAGGCTGTGACAATCTTCCTGGAGAAGAACTGAGGCATTGGAGAATATTGGTAATATGGCCATGATGGCATGAGGCTGGTATCCAGACAGTAGAATGTTAGACTTAAGGGATAGGCCATGTCAGTACCCAAAGTTAATGGGCAAAAGATGCGGAAAGCAATGTTCAATGAGACTTTGGAGAGGCAGTGTCATCAGGAAGAACTGATTATTCGCCAGTGCTTCCTTAAGAGATTTAGTAGTGAGCATTCTGGAATATGATGGGTAGCATCTTACACTTTGTCCACACTGCGGATATTTTAGCAAAATTTGACCACCATTGCTAACATTAGTACACCTTAACTGATGGGAATAATTATTGGAGTACTAATGTAGACCAGGATTTTTAACACTGTGCCATGTATCTGAGTTAAGTGACACAGTATTGAGAATACCACCAGCTGCAGGAACCTGATCTACACTAGTATTCCCTTTGTTACTACTGCTGATGGAGCTCCACAGGTGTGAGGAGATTTTTGCCACACCGTATGAGCAGGCAGGGTGATAACTAAGTAAAGAAGCTGGCACCATACATTAGCAGAGCATATGGAGCCAAACCAGGGCAGATTTGCCAAATAGATCAGAAAAGGGGATTAGTCTAGTTATAGGTTATATTATTGTGTGATGATCCCTCTGTTAGATACCAACTTGAAGTTTAATCAAACCTTTCTTTCCCTTACAGTATCAAATTTTTTATTTTAAGTACATACTTCTTGTTTCCAATAACAAGTCCATATGTAAGTGAGGGTGACATTGAATTGGTATTTGTACCACAACACAAAAAAGTTAAGCCTTTTTTTTATGTGCTGGGCCAGATTCTGATCTCAGTAAACCACTCAAGTCAATAACTCCAGGTTTTTAATGGCACTCAGAATCCAGCCTGCTGTGGCTCAAGGTTGTAGTTTCAACCTTTATAGAAACCCAGCTGGGGAGATGGTCTTGTAATTAAAGCACTGGACTGGGAGGCAAGGGCTAGATTCCAGCATTTCTGTGCCATTCTTTTGATGCATAAGGGCCCATTAAGCAGTTTCACTAAATGGGTAGATCGGGAGTCCTCCAATGTGGGGAAATCCCAGCTGGCATAGAGAAGTGTTTTGCTGTCAAGTTGACCCCTCTGGTGGCATAACAGTCTTAGAATAGGAGCCATTTCCAGCAGGCACTATGGCTTCAGGGGCAGGATGTTTACGCCAGTGCCCAGTCCAACACTGCTTCACTAATTAAAATAGGGCTGTGGAAGATCTACTGCTAAAAGAACAGCAGGTTGGTTGTGTAGTCACTGCACTGCACTGCTGCTATCTAACTTACTGTGCACGTGACACACTTCTAGTACTTTGATTACAAAGGCTCTGTAGCCCTCCTATACAATCTTAATGGACAGGGAACAGTGTAGTGAAATTGTGTCTTCTAACAGGAGTATGTTTCTGGGTGAGTTTCAGTTTTAATAAACGGGTGAGCTAATCAATGAAAAATGAAAACTGGCATTCACTGACCCTTTATTTTCACTAAGAAGTTGGAATCAGGACAAGAGAGAAATGGTTTGGTTAGCAAGAAAGAATCTTCCTATTCCAGAATCAGATCTTCCTCTGATATCTCAGCCCCTCCTCTGAATAATAATACTGAAGAGTTATTAGTTAATCAATAAACCATGGTGCAGGGCATGGTTATCATACAATAATCACACCCTAGGGTATTCTTAGGCCCAAACCACATATTTCTAATCAGAATGGGGGTGAGATTATCCTTTGATAACCACACCCTTGGGAACTTTCTCATTTCTGTTATGAGACTATTTTATGGTAGGGGAAAATGTGTGTTTCTTCTAGAGAAAGATGAAACTGGTAGTTTAAAACTAGCAGCTATTTCTGCTGAGCTGAAATATTAGCCTTCCCATTTAGAATGCTCAAAGTCAAACAGAATCCTTCCCCCTAGCACAAATGGCTTCTAAACAAAAGCATGTATAAGAGACATGATTGGGATGCAGTTTAGCTTAATACAGATGCACAGACGAGAATTAAATGCAAAATAACAAGAAAAGGCAGCAGTAGGTTTTCAGTGGTGCTTCAAAACAAAGAAAGCCACAGCCCTTTCTGAAAAAAAATAGGGTGTTGTCTGCTCGCCAAAAAAGTCAGTTCTTGCTTTCCTACCAAAATAAGGAAGGCCAGCAATGTATGGACTGTTTGTGATTCCCATGGGAACCTAACAGCTACACATTCTGGTCTCTTAGTTGCAGTTTCTGGTTTATTTTCTTAACAAGGGATATTTTTAAAACTAGGACTATTTAAAAAATAGATAGTGTTTTTTTGAAAAGTGGACAATAAATAATTGAAGTGAGGCACAAATACACTTTTTAAAATAATAATGGTGATAATCACAGCTAAAATTGTAGGACATTTTCATAATATTCACCCACATTTCTTCCTGTTGTAAAATGAATTCACTCCAGCTAGGCTTTTGAACTTTTTGGGTTACTTTCTGTGAACTTCCATGTAAAAATTTCCATTTTTACTGGCACGAATGTTTAGGGAAAGCGCATCTTAAACTGCATGCAAAAATAATGGCAAAAAGTTAATTTTAAATGTGCATTTACACATCTGTTCCAGAAATGCTTATGCTTTCATTCAACCCATGTTCAGATATTGCAGCATTCAGTAAATGAGGGTTGGATTTTTGTTACATTCTACCAAGGAGATGCTTCTAAACAAACACGAGGAGCCTGATGATTGCAGCAGCTGTGTGTTTGTAACTCCCAATGAAACCAGTCCCTGAGCTTTCTTTATATTGATGAAGAAAGAGCTGAAGGAGATTCCCTTCTCAGTCTCAACTGAAGGCAAGGTAAGAGGCCTGGCTTCACTTCTGGGCTATTCCCTAAACAACCCAGGAACAGAGAACCTTCAAAACTTTCCTTGGCTAGGTCTACACTGCAAAGATAAATCGGAAAAAGAAAAGCAATTTGCGGTATGCAAATTGCATATCTTTTTCTGCTTTACTGTCGAAAATGACACCTCTGAAATTTGGCACGTCTGCATGGTGCCAAATTTTGGAAAAAGTGCTCTTTTGACACATCCCTTCTTTTTCGTAAAATGAGGTTTACAGGGATGGCAAAAAAGCACGTCCATTTTTTCAAAAAAAAATTCCGAAAGAGGCCACGTTCCTTGGACGTGGCATTGCTTTTCTGGAATGCCTCCTATATCCTAGAAAAGCACAGCAGTCCAGACACAGCCATAGTGAGCATGTTCTGGTATGTTTGTAGATGAAAGATAGGTATGAACTAATCATAGAAATTAGCAATGGAAAAGCAGAGTTGGCCCATCGAGTCCATTTCCCTGTCAGCACAATTGTTCCAGATATCTGCCATCTTCCTTGTTGCACAGGACATTTCCACTACATTCCATAACCTACATTTTAATTCTCTAGCCTTGAATTTACACCCTTCAAATATGTGTAGTTCTGTCCTGTCCTCCCCTGCCCACATGTTGCCATCTCTTAGCAAAGCTCTATTTACCACTTTCAAGTCTCTCCTGCCAGTGGAGCTGGAGCAACTTTGAGAGTGTGGGAGCTAGAGGCAACAACCAGGTATTTGGGTCACAGCTACTTCAAGAGGGTGCAGCATCCCCAGCACCAGCATCTCTGCCTCCACCCCCCCTTTGGTCATTCCTGTGCTGCTTTTCTGTTCTTGTTCCAGTGTATTAATATCTCTAATAGCATGGAATCCGAAGTAGGCACCATGTCCTAAATGAAATCACAACATAGTCACAGAGAAAAGGACTGTTACTATATGACACCACTGCATTTACAGCCCCAAAGCTCTTTCAGTCTTACCAGCTTCCAGCCCATCGTATGTCTGAGTTTGCATATTCTTCCATGGCTGTATTAATCTACAGTTCTCAAATTGAATCTTGTTTTCTGTTATTGTGTCTAAACTCCCAGGCTACGTCTAGACTGGCATGATTTTCCGAAAATGCTTTTAACAAAAAGTTTTCCGTTAAAAGCAATTTTCGGAAAAGCTCGTCTAGATTGGCAGGATGCTTTTCCGCAAAAGCACTTTTTGCACAAAAGCGTCCGTGGCCAATCTAGACACGGTTTTCCGGAAAAAAGCCCCGATCGCCATTTTCGCAATCGGGGCTTTTTTGCGGAAAACAGTACTGTGCTGTTTACACTGGCCCTCTTGCGCAAATGATTTGCGCAAGAGGGCTTTTGCCCGAACGGGAGCAGCACAGTATTTCTGCAAGAACACTGATGATCTTACATGAGATCGTCAGTGTTATTGCGGAAATTCAAACGGCCAGTGTAGACAGCCTCCAATTTTTTCCGCAAAAGCAGATGATTTTGCGGAAAAACTTGCCAGTCTAGACACAGCCCAAAGTTCTTTTGAATTACATCTTTATCCTCACTGGTGGTCAGTTCTCCTCAATATTACATTATCTGCATTTCATGAATAGACTTAATTTTTTTCTTATATTAAGGAAGGTATTTAAAAAGGGATTCCCCACCACCACCACTAATCCTCGTGGTGTCCCAGTAGGCATGTATTTACACTGCACCCTTATCTCGAAATAAACTATGCAATTTGAGCTATGCAAACTGGTAGCTTATTTCGAGTTAATTTTGAAATAGAGTGCTATTCCGAAACATCCCTTAATCCTCATGGAACGGGACTTACAGGGACATCAGAGGAGTGAGTCTGTTTTATTTCAAAATAATGGGCTTGCTCAAGAGACGCAGAATAGCTATTTTAGGGTACTTCTGGTATCCCAAAATAGCCCTGCAGTGTAGATGCAGCCTAAGTGCCTTCCTCTATCTCCATATATTGCCATTAGCCTTTTGCCACAAATGCTTGAAGGTTCTGACCCTATGAAGGTTTGTGATTATTTAAGCAAAGGGAAAAGCTATTCTAGCAAATAACTAAATTTTTTGTTGCCCCACGAGGACAACTTCTAATGGAGACTTCAGTTTTTAGAAAAATGTTTTTGTGTCTCTTGCAGCTCTATGCTGAGTCTAAGGTTTGGTTTTACCCTTATTGTTTAATCATTCTTGCATCCCAAAAATAACTTGCAGCAACATTTATATGAGCTCAAGCTGGTTTGTGCTGTTGCCCAACATCTCCACCAGCACAGTAAAGAACAAAGAAATAAACTCCTATTTAACGTCAGCTGTACACATTTCTAAACTGCCAAAATGTTTAGATTGTGACTTGTGGTTTAATTGTGTTAGTAGTATAATTACAACTAGCTATTTGTTTATTGCACCCTAGATGCTAAGAATTGTGCATGGTTTCAGCCATGCAGTGGTTATGAAATTCAATGGGAACCTAATAGCGATAAACTTCTGCATCTCTTTCAGGGCCAGTTTTCAAAAGAAACCGCAACAGGCCTACGTGCAAAAATGTTTGAGCCCTTTTTTGCTTTAGTTCATGAACGTGTTATTGCAAAAGTGTCCATTGTGGGTTTTTACAACTGAAGTACAAGGTTCTGAACATGGTAGAAGACAATATTCTGAAACTCCCAATGACTTGAATGGAGGTTTGGTATGTATATAATGTTCTGACTACTTGTTCTGTTTATGGGATAATAAAAGACCAATGTGACAGACTGACTCAGCTGATGTGCATTGTCTTCTGAGGCAACAGTTTAAGCTGGTATTCTTTAAGGGGTTAATATTTTTAAATTGCAGGAGTATCTGGAAAATCACAAGTCTGAAAAAAGTGCACATCTTCCTAGTCATTTAAAGATCATCACTGGATAATGCAGAACCTGAGCTAAAGGCTACTGATACTAGGGAAAGCCTTGCCCTTACCGTTAAAGGCTCTTTTTGGTAGGGCCTTCAGTATCTAAACAAATAAGCACAAAGTCCATGCTGTGCCACTTGGGAGGCAGGATACAGAGAGTGCAGCCCACAGCACGGGAAAACCAAACACACTAATATACTATCCTGGCATGTACCTAATTCTGGAGTACTCCAGGGACTGGCACAAAGGCTGACATGATCATGAGAAGCCCCTGGAGCTGCAAAGTGTAGGGCAGCTTTGCATGTCTGTCTACAGACTAGAGTCACAACCTTGATTAGCTGGAGTGACTTGTGCTCTGCCCATTCCTCTCTTGCCCCAGTAAGCCCTTGCAAAGGGGGGCAGCTTATGTGAAGACTCCCTGTTGAACATACACAATAATTATTCATAATGGATTTTATTATATTCAGTTCTAGCATGTAATAAAGACAAATAGATACAAGGGACTAGAATAAGGGTGGCTTCAACATTTTATACAAATAAATATGGTGTAATCAATCACAAGATTAACACAATAGTTATTGCAAATGCCTAAGTTTCAAAAGATGGTGTATTTTCAAACCATTATGAAACCTGATTTTATAGTGCACTTGTGGATAGTTGTTGCAATGACACCATGCATCTCTAGAAATTAATGTACTTAAAAAGGAGATAGGATGAGGGGCAGGCAAGGTAAGGCCTATGGGCCGGATCTGGCTCACCAAGCCATTGGATCTACCCCATGGTCAGCCCTGCTGGAACCCTCAGGTACGGAGCAGCCCCCTGCAACTGTCTACTCCCTGAGGCTTGTGGGGTGAAGCAGGTGGCTTTGTGGGTGCTAAAGTTTCTCTCTCATCCCCCAAAATCTCTCAGCTTGGAAACTGGCCAATGGAGGTGGTGAGAGACTTTGCTAGCAGGCTGGAGCAGCAGGATGAAGCCTTCCCCTCCTCTCAGAGCAGGGAGCAGCCAGCCATTTTGAGCAGCCCTGGCGAAGGCAGGAAGTCTGGCTCGGGCTCCTGCAGGACTGCTAGCTGTGTGCCATCTAGGTAAGTGCCTCCTGGCCACAGTCTGCCTCTGGCACCCTCGTCCTTCCCTGGCCCAGGTCACCATCCAAACCCTCCACACTCCCTCCCAGATCCTGCACCCCTTTCTAAATTCCTCCCCAAGCCATAATTCTCTCCTGCATCTATACCGCCTCCCAGACTCTGCACCCTATTTCCTACCAAGGTCACAACCCCCTTCTCCACCCAAGCTTTCTTCTGCACCTTCTACAACCCCTCCACAGAAGAGTGCAGCCCTTGACCACTTACCAAGATAGTGAAGTGCCCCCCTCAAAATTATTGCCCACACCTATATAAGATGGAGACGGGTAGAAAAAGACAAAGTGAATAAAATAGGTGCTATACACAAAATCTGTGATGGCTGAGGATCCTTTGATGTTTTTACTGCCAAAAGTTTTAGAGGCACTGCATAAGAACTTCAGGTCACACTGATCTTTTCAGCTTTTTGCCATTACTAATATTATTTCGAACTCAGTCGAATATACTGATTAAATTTAAAGAGATCAGAAATAATACACTTTCATAAATACTGCAATACATTTATCAGACTAGATTGCCTAACTTATTGGGTTTGGGTAAAATTATAAATATTTATTGAAATAATACACTAGAATGTTCCAAAAAGCCATGGTTGGCCCTTAGGTAAATATTACCTACTTAGTAAAACGTCTACAGACATTTAAAAATAGTAAAACTCCCATCCACCCTCCGTGAAACAATATATCTAAAAAAATAAGTATGTGACAAATAACAGAGACAGGGAATTAAAAGATAAGGCTGACATTTGCTCCCTGAACACCACAAGTGCCAATCTTGACTTTGAAGTTTCTAGCTTTTAGATGAAAATTCAGTAGTGTTTACTTGTCTTTTTATTTAATATACATTCAAAAGTGACATGCATAGCAATAAACAGAGAACATTTTCTCGTCCAACAGCTGGTTGCTGTGGGAGAGCAGACATGTCATTCAGCCTATGCCCTTTGCACACATCTAGCAAACATGTTACTTTCCTAGACAACATGTCTTTAGGATGCAACTTCTTCAAGATTTCCACATTCTTATGGAGTCTCTTCTTGATTAGAAACATGTTTTAATTTTCTTTTGAGCTTGTGATTCTCTGCTACCAGTTCATCCAATTTCCTCTTCAGAGTTTTTGGACTGTCTGTAATATGTTAACGATGGTCTGTCTCATTTAAAGGTAAAAGAAAGCAACAATGCTGAAGTTTTGCTATTTTTGTTAGACTCAAAAGTAACTAGGGGCTTAATTTACCAAACCAAAAAAAAAAAAAAAAACCCCACAATAAAACCTCTAAGACCCTCTAACTGCAGCTCCATGGTGGAACTGGGAGTAGAATGAGGTACTCATAACATGGAGCAAAGCTATGGAGAGGGGAAAGAAAATGATACAAATCTACAATCAGATCCATTTGCACAGAGTCTTTGTGCCTATATAAAGCCCCACTCAAACCAAGCTAGCAATTCTAACAAAGATACAGAGCTAGATCTCATTTGCCACACAATTAGTAGAGCCCATTCTGGCCTTACCACAGTACAGTTAAAAGTCAGGACTGTTGCTTTTGGATCTGGAGTGGAAGAATCATCTGTTGACATGCTGTATTGCCATGTACTAGCCCAATTTAACCTTTGCCTGCAGGAGAACCCTCAACAGTTACAAGGAAGTGGACACAGGGTAAAATGACCTAATTGACTGCTTTAATATATAGGACATATTAAGGTGGGAATCTGGCTCAGCGCCTAAGAATGTTTTAACAAATTGTGTATCAGTAGTGCAGTGATAGGGTAGGCTAGCATGGCCGACATCTATTCAGATTTGTTGCAAGGTGCCCATGCATTGCATTGATGGCTTTTAGAAGTATGGATTCACTAAGAACTCTCTGCTAGCCTGGTGTATCAAAGCTGGAGATATGGATCAAAACATTACGGTTCTGCTCTTGTGGAAAAGTACCACGTGATCTTTAAAATCCATCTGAAAAATCATTAGATAAACAAAGGGAACTCTGGAATATTGGCTCATCAATGAGAACATTTCTCTCCCTGAAGCTATACTACTGAATCAGCACTTCTCCTGAATTCCTGGCTCAGAAGTGGAAGCGCTAGCAATCTGGCACTTAATTTAGCCTACCATGGAAAAAGTTATGTTCACATATGTGAGATTTACACCTTCTGGATAACTTATTTCCATATAAAATGCATTTTTTTCCTTTGACCCAGTTGGGCATTTTATCCTGAACTAGTTTCCCTGAATATACTTCTACAGTTTTCAGATTTTTTTTTTTTAATTTTTCACTTAAAGGTAAGTTAGTGCCTACGGTGCACCTTGACCTGGTCAAGATACCAACTGTAAAGCTGAGAGGGTGGTTCTATCTCCATGTTCAATCGGTCTTTCCAGCTTCTCCATGCAGGTGACTTCTGAGATGCAGACATCTATTCACTAGGAATTGACAGGCCTGCTGATGAGGGAGGGGAGGATAAAGAGAGCAACTGCCCCAGGGCCTGGTGATTCAAAAGGACCCAGTGTTCCCCACTGCCACAACAACTATGGCATACTACAGGTGGCTCTGAGGGCCGCTGGTGGGACACAACATGCTCCAGATAGCACTGAGGGGTTGGCTGGCTGCCCCAGCTCTGTCCCATCTGCCTAAGGCCCCGCCCTTTGACAGCATGCAGCTGGAGCCAAAATCA